CATTAATTTAAGGCAACAATGAATACTGTAATTTCTACATTTTTTACAAAATGAAACTACGTTTGCACGGTAGTTTTTAATTTATAATTCTGTTGACATGTATTGAATGTTAATTTATAAATCTGTGACATATAATACTAATTTATTTACAAAAAATAATTATATTACAAAAATTAAATTGGTCGTTTTTTAAGAATAGCTGTGCTATTCTAAATAAGAAAGCGTTCACGTTTAAGTCAATAATTTTCGATGTAGATGTAAAACTACACTAACATGTAGATGTGACATTATTTCACAAAGATCGGTTGAGCTCGGGCGGATTCGAAGACATACGAAAATCCTTTAACTCGCCTATTTTTTTAGTTTAACCATTTCTTAACTTATTTTTAAATAGTCGATCTATCAAAGAAGTCGATCATATAAAATTATTGAGACTCATATTTCTAATAAAAAATTAACTTGGATATATTATCTTAAAAACTTGAAGAACAGCTGCATCAAAAGAATCAATATTTTAAAAAGTTTAGTCAGCAAAAAGTCAGGAGCTGATATCAATGTATTATTAACTACATATAAGGCATTGATTCGTTCAAAAATTGATTGTGACTGTATAATATATGATGCTGCCAGTAAACCTTACTAAACCTTACTAAACCTTACTAAACCTTCTTAATCCTATTCAGTCTACTTGCTTAAAAATCATTTCTGATGCCTTTTGCACTGTATCTATTTTTGGTCTACAAGGTAAATTAAACGAGCCTTTATTAAACATTAGGCCTAAATTACTATGACTCTTTATGTCCTTAATTGTCATCTCAGCGAATAATCTAGTCAATAATTATATTTCTGTAAATACATTAGAATTTAGCTCTAATGATAAATATTCCTACAAATCTTTAATCGTTAGAGTTTCAATTATGCTCAAGATCTTAATTTAATTTTTCCTTTCATCCTTTCTTTTTCTCTCGATAGTCCTTTTTTTATTCATCCCGTAGACTCCATTTTTGGTAATTATGAAACAAAAAATACTAATAATTTTGAACTGAATGTTGTTCTCCAAGAGTACATCAATTCGAATTCCTCTATTTCGATTTTTACTGATGGCTCCAAATTTTGTGATGCTGCTAAATGCGCTGAACAACATATATTGCCTGAGAAATTATCACTTTTGGCTTCCTCTTTGTAGGAAAAACTTGTGCATTACAAACTTTTAAGAATGTTTTTTCCTTTATATCTTGAACTTAAATTGTTTAAACAAGAGATTCTCTATCTCTTATTTAAAGTTTGAGTTTTTTTAGTGCCATTAATACGTTATTATTCGATAATAATAATTAATTCGATAATAATTATTATTCGATTAAACTTATTTGAATCCTAAGACTTTAGGAAATGACACAACAGATAAAGTTACTAAAGCTAAAGTTAAACCAACCACTAAACTCCTCGTTTATATAAAAAAATGTTAGAATTAATTTTAGAATTAATGCCAAAGCATTTCAAAAAAGTTTTATTTGCTTCTTAAGACTTCACATTAAACGGAACTCGAACAAAACTTTATGATATAAGATGTAATATTCACTCATATTCAAGCCTTTCTTCTCTCTAGAAAAGAACAAATGCCCTTTTCATATTTCATATTCTAATTTAGCTCATCAATTTTAGATTACTAAAGATAATTTTCCTATATGTGATACTTGTGGTGTAACATTCACAATTCACCAAATATTATTGATTTGTCGCAAATATTCCATATGAAATAACTTCGACATTCAAGAAGATTAATCTTAAGATTAAGGATAATCTTAAATATAATCTTAAATATAATCTTAAATGATACTGAAAACATTAAAAATATACTTCAATTTCTTTCTACAACTGGTCTACTTGAATATTTATAGTATGAATTTTTATATAAATATAATTTCATAATTGTTACATACATCTTTTATATCCTCAGTAATGATCGCTTATGATTACAATGTTAATGCGACCATTTAAAAATAAATAAATAAATAAATAATAATATATAAATAAATAAATAAATAATACTTATAACAATCGATTTTCCAATTAATAATGAAGCAATAATTTCATGACAAGATTTGCCACTTTGTTAATTCAATTATTTTCCTTCCCAATTCAACAAACATGTTTCGATATATATTACTATTCGGTGACGATTTATTGATTTCAATATTCTTGTGAAATATAAATATTTTTTTCACATATAAATATTTAAAGATCTTAGATAGTTCAAGATATGGAAGTGTCTAGAAACTGTTGGATACACTAATTTAATAGTTTTGTAAATTCATAATAGATTCAAAGTGATATATAGTATTAAATATACTACTGCATTATTCTTCTATATTTGTGATATCTTTTCATTCAATATTAATAATAGCTTTTATAGATGTTGCTTTTGGAAAATATAGCGAAAAATATGATTGTTTGGAAATTTCTGCAACTATTGTTTCTTTAGAGTAAATTATATGTGTTAATATTGAATTATAATATAGATACTGAACTACATCAAGTTGAATTTTATTTCGAGTATTTTTTTTTTTTTATTATAATATTGATTAGATGGAGCGATAAAATAATAAGTGGTGCAAAAAGCAAAGACTGAAAACATATTTCATACTTTGCGATGTTATAACATCGATTTCAATTCTCGAAACAATTTTGAAAAATCATTATTTTCTATAACAGTTATGAAACCAAATTCATGAAATATCGGTTACGACTTTAATATCAATTTTATATCAGTTCTGAT